GTTCTTTAGAGCATGTCGTGTACATGAGAAATCAAGGTAAAAGGATTTTAATTGTTGGAGTCTACGTGGATGATTTAATCATCACTGGAGAGTGTATTCAAGATATAGACAAGTTCAAATCACAGATGAAGAAATTGTTTAGCACGAGTGACCTTGGGTTACTAAGCTACTATTTGGGAATTGAAGTATTTCAAAATTCTCAAAGGATTACACTTAATCAGTCGGCATATGCAAGAAAGATTTTAGACAAATGTGGCATGAAAGATTGTAACCCTTCACAAGTTCCGATGGAACCTCGTCTAAAACTGAGTAAGGAAAGCACAAGTCCACCTGTAGAAACAACTTTGTACCGAAGTATTGTTGGCAGTTTAAGATATCTACTGCACACACGCCCAGATTTGGCATTTTCTGTTGGCATGGTGAGTAGATACATGGAAAGGCCCACAACGGAGCACATGGCCGCAGTGAAGCACATATTACGGTACGTGAAAGGAACTTTAAACCTTGGTTGTGTTTATGAGAAGAAGAAAGGAAGATTGGAACTGACCGGTTATTCAGATAGTGATCTAGCCGGTGATACTAATGATACGAAAAGTACCTTAGGTTTAATATTTTTTCTTGGGTCAAGTTCTATTAGTTGGTGTTCACAAAAACAGAAACTGGTTGCGTTATCTTCCTGTGAAGCAGAGTACATCGCTGCATGTGCAGCAGCGTGTCAAGGAGTGTGGCTGGGACGACTATTGACAGATTTGTTAAAAACTGAAGTTAAGAAAGTAGTTCTGAAGATTGATAATCAGTCCGCAATTACATTAAGCAAGAATTCAGTTTACCATGAGAGGAGCAAACATATTGATACCCGATTTCACTACATTAGAGATTGTGTTGAATCTAGAATGATTGAAATTCAACATGTTTGCACAGAAGATCAACGTGCTGATATTCTGACAAAGTCACTTGCAAGATTGAAGTTCTTGGAGATGAGAGAAAAAATTGGTGTGCGAATCGTCAGTGAAGGACAACAAGCTTAAGGATGAGATTGTTGTGTTAATCTAGTTGTCTCTAGAAATTCTTTATGTATTTTTGCACATTTTTCATATGGATTAGGAAGTTTTGAAAACCGTTAAGTGGTTAGTTAGTTTTATTTTCAGAAAAATGTGATGTATTTGCTTATAAATTAAACCAGAAAATGTAGAAGGTGTGAACTACTAAAAAAATTCCTCCATTTTTGTTGGCGTTTAAAGTTTGGTTTTGAAAACCAACATTGTATTAATTCACTCGATCAATAATCGTTCTTTCATCCTTTTATAATTCCTAAATGACCTCAAAATTGAATGATCTTACCCTCTTAACATATTGATCCTTTACTTGATGTTCCAAATATTTTAATCATATTTCGAAAGCTTGATTTGAGCTTGTTTCAATTTAGATTAGATCACCTTGAATATCATTAAATTTATTTATTTGATTTGAATAAATATTCTCTAAGCTAATATAATTTATATTACCTCCATGAAATCTAAAATCATATCCTTCATTTATTTAATGCAATCACCCAAAAAATGGCACATTAAGAGAATCGAAACCCCAATAGTCAAAATTGCAAATTGAACCAGTCAATAATTAAATTTAAAAGCACAGAAATGGTCCTGCGTCTATGACTCCACATTTCCGTCGGCATACAAAGTTTGAACAGTTCTTCTATGAGAAGCCCACACGCAAACCATCTCTAATTTTTTAGTTGAAAAAAACTTCAATTTGACTCCTTTAATACATTTGATTCGATCTCATCATACCATCACAAGTATAACGTGATACAATTCATCAAATTTTGTTTTGTTTTTTGTTGCCGGCCAATAATAGCCAAATGGCATCACAAATTCTATCTCCTTTGTCGCCTTCTTAGTTTGTCCCAAATGTACAAGCAGGCCGGCTCTTCTCAGGCTTTACATTTATATACATGTAGAAATCGCAGGCTAGGATGACAGTATTCAAAGACATCTAACCAAATCAAATTTTGTTCAATTAGTCTCTGCAATGCAGCTCCTTTCCATCCTCTTCCTCGTCTTCTTCCCCATCGCCACCCTCAGCACAGTTTTACTACCCATTCAACAATGCGAGAAGAACTTCACCGGAAATAACTTGCTGCAGACCAATATCAACAACCTCCTTCTCGACTTGGTGGGGAAGACTTCTCTTCAGGGCTACGCCATCTCCTCCTCCGCCTCCGACAGCTGCGAAACAGTCTACGGTGTCACGCTATGCCAAGGAGACCAGAGCCGAAAAGCATGCTCCGCCTGCATCACCAAAGCTGCACAAAAGATCCGATCTTCATGCCCTAATGCAGCCCAGATCCACACATGGCACGAGGACTGTTATCTTCACTACGACACCGAGAACTTCATCGGGAAGCCGGAGAAGAGCGTTGGGAGTGTGTGGTATTCCCTTGACGCTTCTGTAAACATCACGAAGCTTCAACGAGCGGTGAGCGACCTGTTGGCCGGAGAGGTTTTGGAGGAAACGGTGAGGGGGGCGGAGAAGTTTGGCTATGGCGAGAAATATGTGGATGAGAACGTGACGGTCTATGGAACGGCGCAGTGCACGCGGGATCTTGGGGAAAATGCGTGCTTTGATTGCTTGGATTATGCATTGAGGACTGTATCGGCTAACTGCTATGATAAGACTGGATGTCGTGTTTTTGGAAGCAGCTGTTTGGTTAGGTTTGAGATCTACAAATTTCTGCAGGTCAGTTCTCCGGTTCATGCTCCTGCGCCTGCTCCCTCCTACGTGATCGGAAATTAACTGTGCTCCGTTGGAGAAAAGATTGGGTATGTTGATGGTGTGGATCCATCAAATTAGGTTTGTGCACGCAACGTGATGCGATTCGTTGTGTGGTGATTCATATCATTCAGGGTTTTATTTTTAATTTGTGTACGGGGTATAAATAATTAGTTGTTGGTGTTCTGTCGTCTTATTTTGAATAAATTAGATCTCAGTTGCATGCGTTAGAAGTGTTGTGATGAATGAGTACTTGTTATGCTTTGATTTGGGGTTAATGTGATGTTTAGGAGAGATTAAAGTTGCAAAATAGATAGGTATTACTATATATATATATATATATATATAAATAAAATAGCAACTTGTGGCTCTCTACGCGTTAATATAAAATGAGGTTACAAAAAGAGGGAGGGAAAAAAGATACTCGCTAAAATGAAAAAGAAATACATGAAGTCCTAGGGGTTTCTTTATCCGCATTACAACTCCACACAATAAAGATAAAAAAAAAAAACAAAAAAGGA